GCTTGCTTGGACATACATCGAACGGACAGATGGACTGACAAGCTTAGATTGATTGAGAATAACTTTTTATTTATCCAGATCTATCTCTAATTCTCCCGGGTGTCAGCATTCGTCCTACAAAAAATGCTAGCTACATATTAAAAATGTATAGACACACATCGAACGGACAGATGGACTGACAAATTTATATCAATTCAAAATAATTTTTTACTTATCCAGATCTATCTCAGGCTCTTCTGGGTGCTACTTATTTTGTACCAGCTTGTGATCAGCTTAGAGGCAGAGAACACTATGTCGGCAGATGATATAGATATCATCAAGATAGCACGCATTTCAGTTTTATTGAGAAACAGTTTAAATTTAAATAGTTTTACGACCTAAGTAGCAAATTGTCAACTGATTCTTCACATCTGTTTCAATCTCAAATCAACTAATCATGAAAAGTCATTTTTAACGATCTATCATATGTAATACGAAAAAGATAAAAAATAATAAACTGAATTTTAAGCAAATATGCAAAGTATTCATCGCTATGTTCGCTAGAACAAATTCTTATTTATAAGAATTTTGCTGATTTATTGAAAAATTTCGTCTAAAGTGTAGCTTTCACTTATACATACATACGTACATACATACATTTTCACTTTTCTTTATAGTGTAAGACAACCAAGCACTTTACTATAATGAAGTCAATCAACAGAAAGCAAAAAAAAAAAAAAAAAAAAAAAAAATGTAGATAAATGGAAAACTCTCAGACACACTCAACACACATTTTAATTTTAAATACTTAGATAGAGAAATACATATAATACACATATAATACACAAACGCATAAACACTTCCTACATAGACACAATTCCCATTGACCTCATTTACAGGTGAATAGCGTAGTAATTTATTTATTAGATTATCAGTAGTATAGACCGCAACAAAGCAACAGCAACAGCAACAATAACAATAACAACAACAACAAAGTAATGATGATTTCTATGCTACAATGTTCTATTCCAGTGATTTCTGTGGCAATCACCTTAACGTTAGTGTGATGATCGTTTTTCTAGTAAACTCTAAACTAAACTGAAACAATGACGACAACAACTACTGCAACCGGCAGCAGCAACAGCAACAGCAGCAGCAGCAGAAACAATAGAAGTAACATCTCATTGGTTATAACTAATAAATAAATATTAAAAAGAAAAAAAACAAAAAAAGATTGCAATCCATTTTTTTCTTTTTGTCGATTTTCTGTTTTTCATGCAACTCATGCGGAGTAGCGTTGCCTGTCGGTCGTGACAATTGTGTGAAAAAAAAAAAAATATGATCAATCTTTAATATTAGTGTTGTTATTGGTGTTGTCAAGATTGCTGTTTTTTTTTTTTTATTATTATTATTATTATTATCATTTCTCTCCTTTGTATTGTAATTCACATAATTTATTATTTATGATGCCCGGATCGGAATCTAAGATTAAAGGTAATTACTTCAGTCAGTGTTGTTTTCGCGTTTTTTTTTTTTTTTTTTCTTTTGCCGTTCGTCAATCATAAACTTGTGTGTGTGTGTTTTTTTGTTGTTGTTTTGTTTTGCTCTTTTTTTTTATTGCAACTTCTTGGACTACATTCAAAATGAAATGATTTTGGTGTCATGGAAATTGAGTCGCAATCAATTCAAATTAAAATTAAAGCAATTTTTTCCTTTATTACTTTCGGCACTATTGCTGCTGATAGTTCTGCCTTTAAGCACTATTATCAATTAGTTGCAGTGCGAAAGTTTATAGTAAAACGTGTTGTTTGTGTTGTAAACTAAAGATAAAAAGTAAAAACTTTCAATTACACAAATAAATTTTAAAAATAGTATTGAAAGCGAATCCACGAACACCCTTTGCTCCGAGTTATGTGACAGCTATGACCACATCGTTCTGCTTTCAATTTTGGATATAGGTACAGATGCATGCTCTTGTCTGAACATGATAACATCGGCATATAGTAATCGAAAATTCGAACTTTTCCTTGCACACCTTCATATTCACTATAGGGGGCCGATGTAGTGTGGATTTGTGTTGTGTTTGTATTATGTCGGACAACCTGCGATGAGTACACACATATATACTTGACTTGAAAGTCTTGACTTCAAATCTGAAAATTCATTCAAATTGAAAATTGGATCAATAATTTGCCTCGGAATGACTGTAAAAATCGCGTCTAAAGAAACTTTATAGGTAAACACGTGGTTCTTAGCGCGCATAATTGCTTGCGAAGTCTTACCAAATCGTAAAAGTTGTAAGATATTCGATACGGGAAACGGTATTATATATGATGTACGACCCGGCGTACGATACCGTACTTTACACGATGCGGTTTGCGATTTAGTACACGATACGTTGGAGCAACTAATAAAGTGTACTCTATAGTTTACGATGAATGGCACCGCGCCACATCTACTCAAGCGACATCTCTTTAAAATGGGCCGTTATATGGGAAGTGAACGACGAACTAGCCCGGTTCGAAGCATTTTCAGCTGAGTTCGTCCTTGAGTTAAAGCAAGTCAGTGAACAAATTTCTCGAAAATTGCCTTCTATAGGTCGGACCAACAGGCGGACAGACAAGTTTACGATGATTCAGAAAATGATTCTAAATTGATGCGTATAGTAAAAGAGATGAATCCATCTCAAGTCCTTTTGTATGTTATATACGGCAGGACAAAATTAATATATCCTTGTACCGCAAGTAGTGTAAGATATAAAAGGCTTCGATCCATACTTCGCCCAAATATCTTACATGAAATTTCAAAATAATTTTTAATAAATATCTTGGTAACGATCTGCAAATCGAACGAACACACGGAGAGACAAGCGTACGATTCAGCAAATGGTACCAATCCGATTGATATAATAGAAGGGTTTATTCCAAGTACTTCTGGATGTTGCATATGTCCGCGCAATCTTAATATCGCTTATACCACAAGTGGGGTCGAGTATAAAAAGGTTTAGATCCATTCTTCCCCCGAAATTGAAAAATGATTTTCAATAAATAACTTTGCGAATAGGTAACGGTCTGCAGAGCGAATGAACAGACGGAGAGACAAGCGTACGATTCAGCAAGTGGTACTAATTCGATCGATGTTATAAAAGGTGGTTTAGCTCAAGTGCATCTGGATGCACAAACTTAATATCGCTTGTGCCACAAGTGGGGTAAATTATAATAAGCTTTAGATCTATATTTCACGCGAAATTTAAAAATGATTTTCAATAATTATCTCTGCCGACAGGTAGCGGTCCGTGAATCGAACAACCATGCGGACAGACAAGCGTACGACTCAGCAAGTGATTCTAATTCGATCGATATATTAAATGATGCGTTTATTTCAAGTGTTTCTGGATGTTGACTTCCGCGCAATCTTAATATTGCTTATACCACAAGTGGGGTAGAGCATAAAAAGTTTTAGGTCCATTCTTCCTCCGAAATTTAAAAATGATATTTAATAGGTATCTTTGCGAATAGGTAACGGTCTGCTGAACGGATGAACAGACGGAGAGACAAGCGTACGATCACAGCAAGTGGTACGAATTCGATCGATATTATAAACGATGAGTCTATCTCAAGTGCTTCTGGATGTTGCACAAGTCCGCGCAACCTTAATATCGTTTGTACTACAAGTGGGGTAGAGTATAAACAGGTTTGGATCCATTTTTCCCCCGAAATTTAAAAACGATTTTCAATAAATATCTTTACAGATAGTTAGGGGCTAGGAAACGATTCGACTAGAGTCGCGCGCAAGGCTTGGTCTTGATTTCTTGACTTTTCATAGTTTGAAATTTTTTTTCTCTTTTTTTTGTTATGTTAATTATTTATTTAACATATTTAAGATTCAATTGTATGGCTTTGCTGTTTTGTCTTTTTGTTTTAATAATTTTGTAACTTTGAACTCTTTTGTTTTTTTTTTTTTCTTTATTTTATTTTTTATTTATGTTTTATTCGCTGAAAAATAACAAAACTTGTTTAAAATTATTTAATGATTGTATCTTGAAATGAGGCTAATGCTTCAATTTCAATTTTGGTTTCACTGTTAACGTTAAAAGGCAGCAACAATAATAATAATAATAATAATAATAATAATAACAACAACAACAACAATAAGAAAAGAAAAATCTCTGACAACATTGCTATTTAATTATTGGTTTAAATTTCTTAAGAATTCTTTTTGTTTTTAAATTTATTTTTTTCCTTTTTTTTTTTTTTTTTTGCTTTGCTGTCGTTTTTCTTTCAACTAAACAAATCAATTATGTAACGCTGTGGTTGGTAAATGTATGTAAGAAACAACAAGACTTTTAAAAAAATTCTCACGTGTTTACAATTATTGTTGAAATAAATTTTGTTACTTTTCTTTAAAGCATTTTCTTAACTGACTTTTTAACATAATTAATTGCTTACAAGCACGTAAATTATTCGGGCATTAATGTCGATTAAGTAAAAACCAACGATTACGAGGGCTGTTGCTTCATTAAGCTACAATTAAATTGCCAAACATTTTTTTTTTTTTTTTTTTTTATTAAAAGGAAATAAAAATGTTGTACTTATACACGTTTCCCTTATCAACGGGCAGTCTTGTGTGCCTTAAATACTTGGGTTACATTTCGTGTCGAACTAAGAAAGAAAGTTAAGTTCACTTTACTGTCAATGCACATCAAGTCACATAAGAATGTTTATAAACAATTTGATTAATTGTTGGCCCGTTAATGAAACTTTTAAAAAAAACTGAAAGGAGCAAATTGTGTTAGTAATAACAGCGCGAATATATTTATACCCTACATCACTTCCACAGGTACAGATGTGTAACACGTGGAAGGGCTTAAGGTAGACCCAGCTTTTATTATACCTATCGATTCGAAATCGTAAGCTGAATTGATCTAACCTTGTCTGTCCGTCTAACCTCTGTCTATGTATAGTTGTGTTCAAGCTGCAGGTCGCAATTCTTTAGATATTTTGATGAAATTTGGGACAGTGACGTGTTTTAACCCAAAGACGAATGTTGTTGAAAATGATTCGAATCGGTCAACTTTTTCGACAACCCCTCATATACCGCCCTGTGTGGAAAAAAAATTGTAATTTTCATAATTTGTCGGTAAAAGTGGTTAAGTAGTAGTATTTCGGTCTTCTAAATTGGTATTGGACCGGCTGGGGAAAATTTTGAACCTCCTCTTATATAATGAAAATTGAAATTCATACCACAATAGTAGTAATTTAACATAAATATATTAACCGTGCCAAATTAGGACTCGGCCTATTTTTTGGTTCCTACCCTAATAAGGATTTTCACGAAAACTAATCCTTTGTAAAGCAGAAAATTGACCAATAAGAGTAGTTTCATACAACAGTGAACTTTACAAAATTTCGACCATCTACGCCTGTTTTTTTACATCCTGCCCCATGTGAAGATTGGACTTGTACAACATTAAGTTGCATTTTGGGCTCGCTTCCCGTGAAAAATATGCCTTTATTTCGAAACAAGATATAATTTTTGTGTTCCATAATAAAAAAAAGACAATATGGTGTAAGGTATTTAACGGTCGGCCTTGCCCGACTGTTCTTATTTGTTTTTAATTCACAGAAGTAATTTGAAGTATTTGAATTTGCTTTCAAGAAAGAGAGAGCGAGAGGATGCTTTAACAAGCCCATCATTTTCAGTTTCAGATTCGAATTTTTCCTGTAAGTTACAAAAAGTATTTTTGACATTTTAACTTATTTTTTCGATTTTTTAATGGCCCACCACTCGAGGGAGTTACCTCATTCGCGTAATAGGACGATGCTCGAAAAGAAGCAAGAAGAAAGAAGGAGACGGGAAACGTGGTGGTCTCAGCCTAGAGGATATGTGACCCATTGGTAAGTATTATGACTTTACCGACTGAGTACTCATTATAGCTACGAGGAAAACGAACTTTACTGTATCTTAATCGTGATTGTAAAACGTAACAACATCCAATATAAAGAGAGACGTGTTTGGTTAAATCTTTTCAAAATGTTAGGGTAATCACCAATATACAGTAGAATCTTTATAAAGTTTCTGATGCTTTTTTGTGCATGTTGAGAAACAGTAAAGTTAGTACAGCCCTACACTTGAATGCTGCTTGTAAAAAATACCAGAACAACACTTTTTAGAATTAGATAATACTCAAACATATTGTAAGGTAAACCGTCCTTATTTAACTCCTTTTGAAATTAAGTTCGTACCGCCAAATTGTAATTTTTAGGTGTCTTGGGCGATCTATTTACAAATTATTTGCAAGAACTTATATTTACAATGCTTTAATTCTCTCATGACACACATTTCGCATTCCTCAAATATTCCGCTTATATGCACTTTTACAAGCACCAAGTACCATTACCTAAAATCATCACGAAATCCTTGCGCTAATCCCTTTTCCCGCTAAATTTCTGCTAATTATTGTCAATCCTATCACCAATCGCCAGCTGCCGGAGGCAGGTAAAGTATCGCAATTGTATCTTTGGTTTTTCCTTAAAATTTTCATTGCAATTTTGTTTCTTGCAACATTGACTAGCATGCGTGAAAAGTTAAATCAGCAAATGTGCGATTTTCGTAGCAATATGCTAAGATAATAAGGATATAATAGGTATAGAGGTTGCAGAGAATTTCAAGAGGCACATATTGGGTTGTTTGGAGAGCAATTTCGTATTTTTGCTGCGAAATAAAAGAGTTAAATGTTTTATTTGTTCATGTGCGGTTGACTTCGTTAAATTTAATATTTTAGCGATCTCATGAATTATTATTCGACAGATTCCATCAATTAATACTTTTTTTGCCCTTTATTAGTTTCAATTGGTCTTTCTTGAGCAGAAAGAAATTTTGCGAACAGATTTTAGCACTGACATCCTGGCAACGCATCCAACAATATTGTTTTTCTTAACATGAAACTCATATTCATCACCTTCATCATCCATAGTAAAAAAGTAAACAAGTAGAAACATTATAATAGCGCAAATCAGACTATTAGATACTCTAAACCGCTTCGCCCAATGCAGTTCTTCACTCTTTTTTGTATTGTAAATATGTGTAATAAAACAAAACAAACTGCAGCTCTAGCCCTTTTTTATATTGTAATCTATGCAGAACCTGTTGCTTGGTTTGATTTCTTGGTTTTGAAACTGACTTGCAGTACACGGTTACCCAAAGTGTAGCCATTCAAAGCTCGTATAGCCATCGCTGCCTCTTCGTAGTTTGTCATCGATACGAAACCATAGCCTTTGCATTGACTGGTAGTGGGATCTTTGACAATTTTAACGGATTGCATTGCTCCGAAAGGACCGAGTAATTGCCATAAGGCAGCTTCTTCAGTTTCGGGAGCCAAGTTATAAATAAATATGGGATAAGCGCCGCCGGGCCCGCTCGCAAGTGTGGTAGCGGTAGCGGCAGCGGCAGCTGCTCCCAACCCGTAAGGTAGCATAACATCCAACATATCACCGGCCATAAGTGAAAAACGGGCCAAACCTTTATTAACCGGCGTATGCATAGCTCCACCAATGCGCCTAACCAATTGGGGACTAAGGAAGGCGGGCAATTGCGGTTGAATAATTTTACTGGTGCTGCCAGGTGTATTCGAAAATTTCACTACTATAGAGTCGGTACAATTAGATGGTATAGTACCATTGAAAGCAATAATCGTTCGAGTAGCTTCCTCCCGCTTATCAAAACGTATAAAACCCACACCCTTCGTTTGTGCATCATTACCAGCATTTCGTAGAATTCTCGAAGTTATAATCGAACCATGAGGCGCAAAAATTGCCTCTAATTCTTGTTGAGTCATTGTCTTTGGCAGTCCGGATACATAAAGATTGGCACCCTTCATGGCATCCGATGATGGCCGAGCAAAGGACACCTTAATCGTTTTGTTTTGTAAACGTAAACCGTTCAATACAATAACGGCTCGCTCGTACTAATCTTATAGCCAACTATTTACCACAAACCACGACCGAGAATGAGATACGTTCGTTGTTCTCAAGTCTAGGTAAAATTGTGTCTGTAAAACTTATACGAGATAAATCCCAGGTGTATATTGATCCACTTAATCCACAAGCACCCTCTAAGGGTCAGAGTTTAGGCTACGGTTTCGTAAATTATGTGCGCACATGATTTACGAAACTCTGCCTAAACCAGTCTCGGTGCTGCCATTGCTGGCATTGCCATTACCATTGGCCTGGTTCTGTTGCTGCTGCTGTTGCAACTGCTGTGTAACGGCTTTACAGACTCAATTTCACCTACACTTGAGAACAACGAACGTATCTCATCCTCGGTCATGACTATAAGATTAGTACGAGCCTGGGTGCTGCCATTGCTGGCATTGCCATTACCATTGGCCTGGTTCTGTTGCTGCTGCTGTTGCAACTGCTGTGTAACGGCGGCAGCTGCCGCGGCCACAACCTGTTGGGTCTGCTGCTGCTGCACTTGCAATATGGCCAGCTGGACTTGCTGTTGTTGTTGCAATTGAGCAGCAGCCGCTGTGGCCGCCACACCAGCTCAAACTGCTGCCGCTGGATTTGTGGTCTGCATTAATTGTGCCTGTGTATCGACAGCACCCGCTTCTGCATTCATCATAAAATCCATTTTTATTGTTTTACAATTTACTTTTGAATTATTCCAGAGAGAAAAAATGACTGACAGTTATTTTTCTTATTTGCTGCAAGAAAGTTTATTCTTAATTTGTCTCTCTCTCTCTCTCTCTCTCCCTCTTTGTTGATTGAAACAATAACCGAACACAAACTTCTCTAATTTACTATGTATAGGCGAAATGTGGTTTTTTTTTTCTTTTCTTTTTTTTAGCAAATTTACTTTTCTAAACAGTGATGTGAACGCCAGCAGAGTTTTAGCAGATTTGTAAATCAGAGTTCATCAGCTTTAAAATCGTGCGCACATAAACACATAACGCCGAGGAATCAGTGTGTTCTCTTTATAAGTCTAATATTCACACACACATTTGAAAATGTATACATTTCTTCGAAACCATTATAATATATATAATACAAAGGGTCAAAAAATTGGCCCACCTAAATTATACCAACTTACGACGTTCACCTATTATCCCAGGGAAAATTTTGTCGAGACATTTTGAAAATTGCCATTTTTTCTGACATGACGGCTTTTCAAAATAGGGCGCTATATGAAGAGTGCTCGAAAAAGTAGATCCACCTTTTATTGATATGAAAACTTTGGAGTGCGTGGTGCAATTTTTTGAACCCCCTCTCATCTAACGAGAACTAAAGTTCATATGGCAACAAGATATAATTTCCAATGCTTTGTAATGAAAGTCAGATCATAATAGTAGTTTAAGGTAAAAAAATTAACCGGACCCTGCCCTATTAAAGGATTTTCACGTAGATTGATTCTTTGTGGGGTAGAAAAGTCTCGATTTGAATATCTTATGAGGAAAATTAACCCATAATAGTACTTTGATACAAAGCTTAACTGCAGAAAATTTGCGCCACCCATGCCCTTTATTACACCCCACCCTATGTAGTGATTTCCAGGAAAACATTTGTTTTTTACTTGAATATGTTAGGATGAAAATTGTTCCATAGAAGTAATTTGATATAAAAATTAATTGTGCTGAATTTTGAAGACATATCGCAATTTTTGAACCATTTGAGGACAATGATTCTTAAGGAAAGGAAGCCTTTTTTTTGCAAAGACATCTAATATATAATACATAGTTCTATATCCAGGTCATATAAAAGCAAGTTATAATTTTTGTGTGCCATGGCAAGAATATGAATCGTGTAGGGTATTAAATAATCGGGCTGGACCGACTTTTCATTTGTTTCATGATAAAAAAACCCGAAATTAGATCTGTTTGCCATATAAAGTATAATTTTCTTCTAAGAGTTTTCACATCTGTGAGGGATTTGAAAAATGCCATCAGCACTGGGAAGCAGTAGTAATTAAGGATAAAGAGGTAAAAAAATAGCTATATGACATTATAGGTATTTTTCATATGTGATATAAATCGTTTCTATAAATGATTGAGAAGTGACGAGGCTTTTGATCTTCAAAGCTTAGTCTCTGTTTTGGCCTTCAGCACTAGTAACAGTTTATTGCAGTTGTCTAAATAGCGATGATCGAGAACCCACTGCAGTAGCGCACATGAAATTAAAGGTCAGCATAAATAAGATATTCCCTTCTCTTCTCTCTCTACCTCTCTCTCTCTCTCTCGCTCTCTAACGTAATCAAGCATATCCAAGCATTGCAAAGTACAGTTTGCAGAGCTTATTCCATAATAAACACAGTTGGTATACAAGGTTCGATGGTTCAAGTTATTGCTGTAACTCCATGTGTTACAAAAGATTGCTGCAATAAGGCCAACTTATCTGGAACTCAGCTGACGTAACAACTTGTTTTCTTACGGGACTTATAATATTTAAAATAACTTTAAATATCACTTGCATCCAATTCTTGTCCAATAATATATTATATTTCATCTGCTACGTTATATGTCGCCCATGATACGTATTTCTAATCTTTAAGATATATTTTCGAACGATCAGCATTATTAAGCATTTTGAAAAATACCACAAAAAAATGCTATGAACAAAAGTGATTGTAGAAAGTACGTAAAGGAAAAAAGCGAGGAAAGGAAAGGAAGAAAGACGAAAGATTTTCAAAAAAACTGAAAACGCATTCGAAAACACTTAAAAGCGAATTCCAAAAAAAAAAATGAAAGTAAAACAAAATTTGTATAAAAACATATTAATGCTAAACAAAAAGAAATTTATTGAAAAGAAAAATTTGTTTAAAACAAGGGAAAGAAATTTGAATAATCATTTGCTTGTAAGAAGACCGATCGATTGGCTCTCATAAAATTTGCTTGATCGTCTTTTCAAGTCGTGCGTAGACATAAAAAATTCATGATTTTTTGTTTCTCTTTATAGTTTTAGTTATTCGCCTAGCGCCTCCGTCAGAGCAGACAGCAATCGTCATTACGCCTGCTGAAGAGAATTTAACCGAAAGTAGATCTGTCGTTTAATAGGATTGTTTTCTTAATCTTCATTATTTCCAGTATTTAAATAATAGACGAACAGACAGGCAGCTAAGCTCGAAATTAGATTAAATAACACGTAAGTGTGGTTGACAGCTGTTTCGTACGCATCCTGGTTTAACCAAGTACGGCTACGGACGGTAAAACCCATTGAAAAGAAATTATTTCAGGAAAGTAACTCAGGTTAGGAGAACACTCTCTCTCTCTCTCTCTCTCTCTCTCTCTCTCTTTCTGTCTCTTTTTTCCTCTTCGAGAATGATCTTTCCAAGAACAGTTAACGCCCACATTTTTTGTATATTAAAGAGACACCCAGGGTATGTGTCCTATATGTCTCTGAAGCATGTATGCCCCACCGGTCAGTGCGATGCTCTTATTGATCAAGCATTTTCTATAGCTACAGCCACACGCGTTCGTAATTGAAAAATTGCTGGGGAGTAAATCTCGTCTCTCTACTTGGTAGTGGTACTAGGCGTGGCAGTAACCCGAAGGGATGGAGTAGTGCAGTCCTCCCTTCAGAGACGATAGCGACTTCGGGGACTAACTTTTCGGGAAGTTGTTGATAAACACTCCCATACTATATGCTTCTTTTTTATATCATGCATAACTTGCGGAACAACGGTTTATCAGGGTTATGCTGATGTATACGAACCAGAAGAACGTCAGTTAGAACTACCTCTTATACAACCGAAGCTTGTCTGTCCGTCTTGTTTTCTTGCGACCAACCTACAGATGACTATTTTTGAAATGTTTTGATGAAATTTGGTACATCGATGTATCTTGGCCCAAGGGAGAAAGCCATGGATCGATCCACTTTTTCGACCACTTTCAATATAATATCGTATCTACATTATGAATAATCATATTAAGCAAAATGACGTAAGGTATTCAGGTCCCCTAATATGTTTTTAATTGTTTTTTAATATAACCATTCACGCAGAGGATGTCCTCTCCACGCGTGACACGATGATGGCCGAACAAAAGTATGCAAAGAGAAAAAGGCTGGGAGTGGCAGCAACTAAGTGAAGAGCGTCATCAGCTCTAGCAAAGAATCCGAATCGGTGAAGTAAGAAATAGTACACTTCCTTACCTTTCGTAAGAGTTTTATTAGAACATAACCGAGACTTGCGAAAATACTTATTGCCAGTTTCTCTTCATTTGTGACTAAAACCTTCAAGTAGAACATTTGCCAAGTAAGTATAAAATTTGCAACCGACAACGCCCATCCGGTCTTAGTAAATAGAAAGGGTTCTCCCTGTTTATAATCAGAAGACATTTCTAGCAGAATTTGTTAAATCTTTGCGACTTAGTTTTGCGTGCTTCTAAAGAAAGGAAGCTTACCATGCAGACATCGGTAATTCTTCTAAAGAAATTCAAAAATTCGTCATCGACTATTACTACACTTAACATATTTCGGGTATGAAATACGCATCCATAAGCTCGAAATCCTTTTAAATTCAGTTTATCAGAGCAAAGTGTCTTGGAATGGACACCAGTGTTCTTTTAAGAAAGTGGAAACGCCATGACAGGCGTCCTAAAGTTAAGAAGTGATCGTCAATTCCGGAAATTCACAACATAACTAAAAACCGCTGTCACAATGAGAAAGAGAGACATTTTTTTTGTCGATATTTCGAATACTTTCCCGGCTAACATCACTTCACATATATCTTGAATATCGGTTTTTATGAGCTTATAACGAAATAATGTGCGATTAGTTGAAAGAAACTAATCATGAATAAAAAAAATGAGTAGAAGTAGACATCAGTTGACCTTCTAAAGGAATCAAAAAAAATATATATATACATATAATGGAAGCATGGAAGCTGATATGTGATCTTTGACACTAAATTACAAAATTCTAATACATTTCATCGCCTACCACCCGTAAAAAATGATTATGCGCAACTTGATTGTGCAAATTCTGCAAAGGGACGGTCCTTTCGATACCTATTTCAAATCCCTTGTAAGAATCTATCGTAATTGTTAAGCGAAGTTCACCCTCGAGAGAAAAATAAATAAAAAAATAAAATCGGGACCAGTCTTGCTAAAGAAATGATAAATCTTCCGTTGCTAACAGCCTATTAGCGACACCATTCGGGGTCCCTTACTGTGCAAACTCAACAAAGTCGTGCATGGTCTTTCCAATTCGGTAGATTGCAGATCTTTGGCTATTATAACTGCAATCGAAGTAATATATATAATGTGATTGACGAATCCTTAGCACGTATCACGCACGTGGATGATGGAAAATATGCTTTGCAGTAAGAGAAGTAAGACCAAAACTATCCTTTTTAACTTCCCATGGGCTTTTTCCTCCACCTTGTAACAATTAGGTTAAATGAGAATACTATCGATTTGGTGGACTCTATGTCATGTCTGAGGACAATCCTGGATCGCAAACTTAACTTTGACGTGCAGTTGAATACTATTTCGCTTGAAATTTGTCATCTGAACTTACACTAGCCAGTTCCAGTTAGGTACACAATTGCGCATGCACCTCTTATGTCGCATGCTAACTATTGCATTAAAGTGATTTCTGGCTATCCGCCTCATAATTCGGATAGAATCAAACTGATGGCCAACCGCATTATTCGTTTTGTCTATAATGCGACAGTCGGAGAATTTGGAGACCTCTGCGCAATCGTACGGTCATAAGCGCCGAATCTTTTAATCAAACGGCTATAACGACGTGT